ACGTGATTAGTCCCAGCATGATTAATCCTAACATGGTTAATCCTGCAGCTTATATGAAGATGCTTCGTGACATGCTCAACAACAATAATCCAAACATTCCCTTGTCCAATTCCATGATTCCCAATAATCCAAACATGGTCTCTAATGTCATGCCTATCAGTAGTAACCCTACAAACATGATGCTACCGGCGGCAAATCTGATGATCAACAATGATCAAAACTTGGTTCCAGCCGATCATATGATGATGAACAATGACCAGAACATGATGGTGGGGGGATCGGATGCGATCAACGATTAAAACTTGATGTATACCAATGGTCTTAACAATGTGAACATGATGCCAGCTACAAGATATAATATGACTCAGAATAATGGTGGAAACGGGTAGGAGTTTTTCTAAATTTGAAATTTGTGGGAATGTGTTTTGATTAGTAAGGTCACAGAGTGCTCATACAGTTTGACTTTCATATTTAAGTTATATTATCAATGGAATGTAAAGTGATATATTTTATAAATAAAAGATCTATTTGCTTTCATCTTAACTCTAATTTTACAGTACTATATGCTATGCATGCATTATAAATCTTAAAAAGACGTGCACTGTTTAATACACATTAGGGCTTAGATTTCACCCCAAAAGAGAGAGCGAGCGAGAGAGAGAGAGAGAGAAACAATAGATACAAAGAATCAAAATGAATTTGTATTTACATATCCAATATGTTCTATTAGATGTTATATGGGGTGGCAGGTTCTTGAAAAATCATCCATGAAATATTAATTATTTACCGATCTACTGTTAAAACAGATGTATGGTGCGTAATGGCTGTAATAATCCAATGGAAAATAGAATATATAGCTTGTGGAGAAGATATATAGTGGATATATATAGATCAACTTCGAAAGTAAAACACAATTAACTTATTCTTATTTAATAAAAAATTTTAAGAAATACATGGCAATGAAAGTAAAAATAAATAGTAAATTAAAAATGCATTATGCAAATACGGATTCAAGTGCACGTTATATTAAAATATCTATGCGTACTTAATAAATTACTATGCAACGTGTTATAGTTTATACTAAAAATATGATATTTTAATAAATTATAAATAATCGAGTGTTGTTAAAATAATATCTCATATTGAAAAAATTAATTGAAAAATTACAACCATGTTCTATATTTATAAAATTTTTATAAAACATATTGTGCTTTTTCATTAGCATAACTACTACTTATGATGAAAATTGGGAGGAACCCCAATTTCTTTGGAAAGCTCTCGAAGACAGATTCCTTCAAGAAAATATTAATTCCAATTGAGAATATTCGATTAAAAACATGACTATCTAAATCCTTCCATTTTGTTGCAAATTTATTGGGAAGAATGACGAGATTAATGAAAAAGCAAACGTAAAAATTTAGTTAGATAATCCTAAAATTCTGACTAAAATATCTCTCGTGGAAACACTTTTAAGTCCCTATGGATTCAAATAGAGTATATATCATTTTGAATCAACGTAGAGAAGACTAATAGAGAAGATGAGCAATCATCAAAAGCGTCAAGAAAGATAACATACTATGAAAGACAACTCACCATAGTGAAGAATTGAGCCAAATTGGAATAGTTTTATATGGAAGCTTCATCAAAACCTTTTATAGCTAAGGTTGAAAAGAGGAAAATTGTTATTAAAATAATTAGTAGGTTGGTAATTGTATGATATTCAGTACTTTGGGATTTTCTTATAAGTTTAATTTTTTTTATATATAACATGTTGAACTTCATGGTGGTTTTGCAATATTCGCTATAATTTTATTACCAAGTTTGTAATTTTTTGTTGACTAACTTAATATTCATGTATGGAGAAACATGAAAAATATTTTCATTATCATCCCAAATTTGATATATATATATATATATTAGGAAATAGGTTGGTAATTATATAATATTGTGTATTGGGATGTGTTATTCAAATTTTATTTATCCGTGCATAGATGTTGACACTATTTTCATTATCTTGTCAAATTTGATAAGCAAGAAAATGTGGCTGTTAATAACTATTTCTAAGAATATTCATCTCATTTCGTTCTACAAGCAATGCTGATTTGGAATGGTAAATTCGTATAACTTAAAGGTAATATTATATCAATTTTCAAGATTTTTTTACTATATATTTCAATGAGGTGATTGTAAAGCATTCCAAACAAATAAGTCTTTAAAGCCGATATATTTACAAAGAAAATTCGTCTAAATCAAATTATATATTGAACAATATAAAATAAAAATGCCCAACTTGGTGACCCAGAACGAGTAAGTCATCAAAACCAAAAAAAAATTATATAAAAAATTCATCTAAATCAAGTTGTGTTGGATGGTGAAAAGTGATAATTTCCAACTTGATGATTCCAAACAAGTAAGTTATTAAAGCTAATAAATTTGAATAGAAAATTCATCTAAATTAAATTATGTATTGGATAGTGCAAAATGATAATGTCAAACTTAGTGACTCCAAATGAGTAAGTAATTAAAGTTAAAAAAATTTATAAAAAAAATTCACCTAACTCAAGCAATATGTTGGATAGTGCAAAATGATAAACTAAATCTGGTAACACCAAATAAGTAAGTAATTAAATCCACGAAATTTTTATAGAAAATCTACCTAACTTAAACTATAGGTTGAATAGTGCAAAATGATAATGCACAGCCTGATGATTCCAAATGAGTACGTAATTAAAGTTAAAAATTTTATACATAAAATCTACCTAACTCAAGCTATATGCTGGATGGTGTATAATGAGAATGCTCAATCTGGTGACTCCAAATGAGCAAGTAATTAAAGTTAAGAAATTTATGAAAAAAATCAATTTAGATCAAGTTATAGATAGTGCAAAATAATAATGTCTAACCTGATGACTCCAAATGAGTAAGTAATTAAAGGCAGAAATTTATATAGAAGATTCATCTAAATCAGATTATATGTTTGATAGTGAAAAATGATAATGCCTAGCTTGGTAACTCCAAATGAGGATGTAATTAAAGGTAAGAAATTTATATAAAAAATCTCTCTTAATCAAGTTAAATATTGAATAGTGCAAAATGATAATGTCCAGCCTGATAATTCCCAATAAATAAGTAATTAAAGTTAAGAAATTTATAAATCAGTTTATATATTGGATGGTGCAAAATGATAATATGCAATCTGCTCCAAATGAATAAATAATTAAAGTTAAAAAATTTATATAGAAAATTAATCTAAATCGAGTTATGTATTCGATAGTGCAAAATGATAATGTCTAACATGTTGACTCCAAATGAGTAAGTAATTAAAGCTAATAAATTTATAAATCAAGTTATATGTTGGATAGTATAAAATGATATTTCCCAATCAGATGAATCCAAATGAGTAAGTAATTAAAGATTAAAAAATTTATATAGAAAATCCATTTAAATAAAGTTTGATGTTGCATAGTGCAAAATAATAATGTCAGTCCGACGACTCTTATAAACACTGCACATTTTCTATCAGTTCCTAGTAAATTATAAACCAACTTTTTTATTTTTTCTTCACATTGTCTTTTTCTTTCACTTTTAGCAATGGATAGGAAGGGCAAGGGCTGTCAAAAGATTGAGATGGTGAAGATGAGTAACGAAACCAACCTCCAAGTAACTTTCTCAAAACGAAGAGCTGGTCTTTTTAAGAAAGCTAGTGAATTGTCCACTCTTTGTGACGTTGATATTGCGATGATTGTTTTTTCCCCTAGTAAGAAGGCTTTTTCTTTTGGTCATCCTTGTGTTAAAAAAGTGATTGAAGATTTCATTTGTGATAATCCTCCACGAGATACTTCAGGAGCCATGACGCTCATTGAGACTCACCGCAACTCAAGGATACATGAGCTCAATATGATCCTCACACAGGTTTGAGTAGACCATATTTAGATTTTAAAACTTAATATACTTATTTGATCTTATTTTTGTTGGATTAAAACTTATACTGACTTGTACTTATTATTTGAAAAATATAAAAATAGGTTATCAATCAATTGAAAATCGAGAAAAATCGCAATGCATAGCTTAAGGAAATACAAAAAAAAATGTGAGAGTAAGTGTTGGTGGATGGGTCCGAAAAAGGACATGAGTTTCTCACAACTTGAGCATTTAAAGACATCTCTTAAGGAATTGAAGAAGAAAGTTACTGAAGAAGTTGAGACGATTATAATTCAGAACAAATTAAACATGATGCCTCATGTATTGAACGACCCAAACGCGATACCTAACGTGTTCAAGGATAATCCCAATATATATATTCAAGGAAATGGGAAAAAAAAGATTCTACTAAGTATATTTCTTGATTAAGTCTTGGAAGGATGAAATTAAAAAGAGTTGTAAACACGATGCTTGCCGTTTGTTTTATTTTATTTATGTTAGATATCTGGTGCCTTAGCATTTGGGTTTTCATCATGTTCCTTTTCATTGCAGTGTTGCGGTACTTTCAAAGAGTGTAATAATAATATAATTTTTTTATCTATGCATTTATTTTTATTTTCAAGTTGAAATCAACCAACTATTCTAAGAGTTGTAATAGGAGAAAATATTTTAAGTAATTTACTTTTAACTCATTAACACAAGACAAAGGTAACGTCTAAATATAAAAAAAAATATATTAAAGTCACATAATCGTGCTTCGATAAGAACATGAATCATCTTTGGGAAAACCTTCAATTATGTCATATTTATGCGAGTTAAGTTTTTATGTTGACAATTATGAGTTTCTATTTTTGAATAAATACCTGTGTTGGTTAATTAACTAATATATATATACATCAAATTTAAAACAATATAAATGACATTTAATTAAAAACATACAGGGAAGTACAATCTCTCATATAGGAAGAAATATACCAACTATTCAGTTAAATAATAGTTGGTACAAGTCACATTTTGAATTAATCTAAAATATAATAAATGAAATGAATTAACTATATGGTAATTATGCATCCACGGACAAACTATTAAATTTCATGATCAAATTTTTATACATTGTAAGAGTTGTGATCCATTTATTAGATGACACTCTTGGTGACCTGTATGTTCATCCAATTTATTGATGCGATAAATAAATGTTATGAGTTTTCTTGATTTCAAAAGATTAAATCCTAGTTAATTCAAATTTAATCAGCAATTAATTTGATTATCATTCTAATTATTACCTGTTTGGCCACAAACTCAGGGTAATTGTCCTGAAGAATGTGCAGAGCCTGTTTAGTTGCCAATCTAAGCTCTCTTTTTCCAGGTCCAGGGGAATTCTTCAGATCATTAACCTGAAAAATAGTACAAACACCACCAGGACTAAAATCAAGTTTCCTTATACTCCTTTCCAAGAATTGAATCCGCCATCTCAAAAACTTCATCCTCTTCTCTTCATTTGAAAATGTCTTCTGATACAACTCCTTGTTCTGAAACTCTCCATAAATGTTGTAACAAACTGGATGCCCGTCCTTGTCATGTCCGTGCATAAACACAACTTTGTCCAGGTCATCGCCGAGATCTTCGTCGACAAGCTCCTCGATGCCGAAGTCTTTTCTCCATTGAATTGTGTTCTTGATCATGATAAAAGCGTCCTTGGGTTTGAAATCCCTGGCTCTGAGGAATTTCAGCAGAATGACATCGCTCCGGTCGTCTTTCAGAAGAGGAATTCCCAAAGTGGAGAATTCCTCCGGCGAGTGAGTCTCCAGCTTCACTTCTTCTTGAGATTTCTCTTGTGGCTTTTCAGGAACTGCTGGTTCTTGAGGTGGGTTTATGGTGGTGCTAGCATCGGACTCAGCGGAGGATACTGCTTCAGTTTTTGGTTCAGTCGCCATGGTAGATTCTTTTGGAGGTGGCGGAGAGCTGAATTAACGAGTGTTTAGAGCTTCCTGAACAAGCTGCTTGAATTCTAATAAAGCTTTCTTCTCGAACTCAGAGAGATCAGCCACGTTATTGCTCTCCTCCTTGAAGGAAACCAAGCTCTGAGGAGCCTTACTTTTATCTTTCACGTCGCCGGAAACCTCCTTGTCGGCGTTAACCGCCATTGTTTTCTCACTTACTTCCTGCTGCGGCGGCGGAAGCTCCTCTTTCTCCATCATCGCCGCAAGCGATCTAGACTCTGCGGTCACCTGCTCCGGTTCTTTCTCCAACGTCAAGGTCTTCTCAGGTTCCGTTTCCGGCGGCTGTTGCTCTTCCTTTTCTGGAATTTTCGGAGGTTCATCAGAAGGAAGAGGATCAAGAGGAGGAGGCGGAGTCTGTTCAGTTAATGTTGGCTGTGCTGGTGGGTCTTCCTTGTCCGGTGCAGGGGAAGCATTTTCGGCAACGGAAGAGGGCGGCGACGGCGCTGCCGGAGCCTCCGCAGGTGGCGGCGGGTGTTGTGGTTCGGCCATGAGTTGTTTTGGGTTTGTGTAGTTTTGGGGGGAAAGAGGTGGAGTTGGAGAAAGTGAAAAGTGGTTGGGTTTTGTCTATATGCGGTCAAGTTTAGAAGTTATCAAGAAACCATGGAAAGAGTGAAGTTGGCGAGCAAAAGGTTGAAGATGAAGGGGGGAGTTTCTTTCTGACAAATATCTGGAATCCTATGCTTCGTTCACATCATTTTCTTTTCCTGTCCTGCCCTTTTTCATTTAAAATTTTCGAAAATATAAATATTTAATTCTTTTTGCCTTTTTGTAAAGAGAGTGAATTTTTTTTTAGTTTTACCGTTGCAAGTGCGTAATAATAGTTTGCAAGCATTAGCTTTTCCAAACCATTATTGATAGAAAATTTTATATTTGTGATTAATAATATTTTAAATTTTATTTTTTAATTATTAATTAATATTTAGATTAAATAATCGTTTTTTATTTATTTTTATTATTTAAATATTTAATAGTATTTATTTTTATTATCAAATTTATATTTTGTTCAATCTGTTTTTTTTTATTATTAAATTTGGTCTTAACATTAAGTCTGTATTAAATAAAAAAAATTAAAATAAAATTGTAATACCCTTAATTTATTTTAATATAATTAAAATTAATTGTATAAATATAAATTTTTAATTTTTTTAATTTTTAAAATTTTTATTAATGTAAAAATGAAGAAAAATAAGAGTAGGATGAAATTGAAAATAATTTTGAAAAAAATAGATGAAATTTTGAATTATGTGGGTGTTTTTGAAAAAAAAAATCAGAAACTGATGGTCAAAATATAATTTGAGAAAATTGTGATACATAGGACACCCAGTCAACAGCTCCGACAAATCAGAGCCCGCCGTGTGGCAAGGCACGTTGACGCGGTGCTACGCGGGAAGCCACATTGACGATTCGCGTGTTCACGATCGGACGGTCCGAATTTGTTCCCGCGCGCATGGACAGTCCGGATTTGTTCACTTTTTAAAACACGATCAGACAGTTCAGATCAAATCACGATGAATGGTCCTGATTCACTTTCTATTTAAACAGATCGGACGGTCCAGATTAAATCGTGATGAATGATCCATATTCACTTCCTATTTAAACGCAATCGGACGGTCAAGATCAAACGTGATGAACGGTACAGATTAAAAGAATATGAATATAAATAACTCTCTTCACACCAACCCCTAACCCTAGCCGTCAGACCCCACCGCCAGAGAAGAAGAGCCAGTCGCCGGGAAGGTAGTCGACCGTCGTTTGCCATCGCGCCGGAGCCACTTTCGACCGCCAAAAAAGGTAAATTTTTTCTCATTCACTTGAAATTCAATTTTTAACACCCTCATAGCCAAATCGGAGCAAAAGGACCAGCGGATGAGCCAAAAACTGCGGGCCAAAGCCCGGCAGCACCACCGCGAAAAAAAGCAAAAATTACCTCTGATGAGGCCCTTCCTGATTTCCATTTCGTGTAATTTTTCTACCACTGTAATCACCATTCTTTTCTCTAGAGGTTGACTAAAGTAAAATACCCAACCGTGAAGGTGAGCCAGCAGAGCCGCCGCACTGGAAAACTCTACTGCCGGTAAGCTTTGATTTTTGACTTTTTTTAGCCATTCGAGATCTTTTAACGTATTTTCTCGTAGGGATGGGTACAAAACTGGCCGAAATCGACTGAAAATAGCCGAAAACGGCCAACTCGAGGTAAACCACCGTTGTAGGCGGCAATGTCGTCGCCAAAGCACGGTGGAGCTGCCGTGTCAAAATTCCAAAATTGGCCAAAAAGAGTTTCTAAGATTGATTTTGAGTTTTTTAGAATATTTCTAGGTACTTGAAATATGTTTTAATCCCTAAATAAAAATTTGAGGAATCTCGGGGACCCATCAGTAGGTACGACTGAAAGTTTAGCATCTCGGACATTAATTTGTGTAAGAATCCCTCACCTTATTCCTTATTATGGAATTGAAGTTTAATTAATAATAATACAGTATTTTGAATAGTTTAAAAAATATCTACAATTAATTACAAGTCACTAATGGAGCCGGAACTGATTATTTATTACTGTTTTCCATGTTTAGCTGATTGGTTGATTTTATAGTTTTTGAATGCATGATAATACACTGAAATTTATATGATGATGCGATTGTGTTTCCTTGATGCATGTATTGCTTGTTTCATGTAATTACGGTTAAAGTGAAAAATTATAAATTAAAGGTAAACGATAAATTATTTGATTAAGTAAATGGATGAACAGTAGCCTTACTGGATATCCTAGGAGATGGTGGACGGACCGGGTATATAGGGAACCCTACCGTGAACGTTGCCTCATACCAGACGGGGTATCAAAGATTAGTATTTTGGCACTCATACCAGACGGGGTATGGAGACGGCCTATTTCACCCTCATGCCGGACAGGGCATTAAGTGCAACGACCTCATAAATTCTAAAAGAAATAAATTATGAATTTAGTGCGGAGGCAAAATAAATAATTAAAGTTTACATTCTTTACACAAAAACTTAAAGTCTCAAATAGTACTACGAAAATTACCATTTGAAGGAAATACGAAGAAAATAAGGAAATAAATGTAAAATAAATAAAACTGGTATCCTCCTCGCAACCCTCTTATGGATCGGACTCTGGATCCTAGTTCTCTTGATCTGAAATGGTTAAATAAAGAATGAGCTATACTAGCCCAGTAAGAATATCACGCTACTCACTGACACAGAAATGAAGGTTGGTAGAAAAATTAAAACAATTAATAGAGCTCTTAATTAAACAAATTCAGTTATCATAAACAAAATCTTTTACCATCTACTTACTGTAGTGAGATTTATAAACAACTTATAGAGACAATGACATAACTTAAATCATGATTTTATATGTAAACGATTTAAACAATAATTCTCTCCTTTATCAACCTACTAGTATCCATGGGGGTTCATAGGGATGGACATACAACACATGAACCATTTCCTTTAATATTTCAAATTAACGGGTCGTCCCCATACTCCGTCCGGTATGAGCACCAAACTACTAAACCTCAATACTTCGTCCGGTATGAGTGTAAAACGAGTCGTCTCCATACTCCGTCCGGTATAAGTGCCAAATTATCAAATCTCGATACCCCATCCGGTATGAGGCAACGTTCACGGTAGGGTTTCTTATGTACCTGGTCCATCCACCATCTCCCAAGATATCCAGTAAGGCTGCCGTTTTATCCTTTCACTTAATCACACAATTTTCCGTTTTTTTTTAATCTCTATTTTTCCCAATTCAGCTGTAAACCCATAAAACAAAAAATGAATACATTCAAAACTATAAAATCGATCAATCAGATACTCTCATGCATTCATACTTTAAAAACAATCAACAGAAGCAACAGTAAATAATTTTCGGTTCTAGCTCCATTAGTAACTCATATTTAATTATGGATATTTCTTAAATTGTACAAAACACTGTATTATTATTAATTTAACTTCAGTTCCATAACAGAGAATATGGTGAGGGATTCTTATTCAATTCGATGCCCGAAAAGTGAAACTTATTGACTGCGCCTACCGCCGATCCCCAAATTCTCTGAATTTTTCTTCAGGGATTAAAACACACTACAAGTAGCTACAGATATCCCAAAAAACCCAAAAACAGTGTGAGGACCCCTTTTTGGCTAATTTTAGAATTCTGTGCTCCGACGGCGGTCGGGCTCAGGTTGGCTATTTTCAACTGGTATTGCATCAATTCCTATGAGAAAATACGTTAAGGGAGCTCGGTTGGCAAAAAAAAAATTGAAACTCACCAGCGGCGGGGCTCTCCAATGCGGCGGCTCTGCCAGCTCACTTTTGCGGTTGGGTATTTGCTTCAGTTAACATGTAAAGAAGAAAAAGGTGATTACAATGGTGGAAAAATTTCGCAGAACGGGAATTGGGAAGGGCCTCATCGGAGGCAGTTTTTGAAATTTCTCGCGGCGGCGGCGCCGGGCTTTACCCGCAGTTTTCGGCTAATCTGTCGATTTTTTAGCTTCAATTTGACCATGGGGGTGTTTAAAATTGAATTCCAAGCATAGGAGAAAATTTTTACCTCTTTTGGTAGTCGGAAGTGGTTCTGGCGCGACGACGGGTGGTGGCGGCTCTCCTTCCCAACGGCTGGGTCTTTTTCTCCCGTGAGGTATCCAGTGGCTAGGGTTAGGGTTTGGTGTGAAGAGGGTTATTTACACTAGTTCCCTTTTAATCTAGGTTGTTCATCGTATTTGATCTGGGCCATCCGATCGCGATTAAATAAGAAGTAGATCTGGACCGTTGATCGCATTTAATTATGACCATTTGATCGCGTTTGGGTAGTGCACCAATATGAGCCGTCCGTGCGCACGGGAGCGAATCTGAACCATCTGATCGTAGGCACGTAGATCGCCCGTGTGGCACCGCATTAGCGTCCTTTGCCACGCGGCGCATTTTGG